AAAGGGAAAAATAAGAACTTAAAAAAAATGAAAACTGACTTCAAAAAATACACTAAAGGTAAAAAATAACTATTTACTTTAATATATAATAATAATATATATGGTAATTACTAATTTGATTTACTATAGATACTAAATCAAATATTTTCGAAGTCGGTGCCAGCCGATACACAAAGCACAACGACCTTTTTTTTAAGTTTTTTAGTATATGTACGACTCTATACATGTGGATACATATGTATAAGTAAAATTGTAAATTTAAATTACATAATATATACCTACTTACATACAACCCACACATAGCCCTCCTTTGGACTTCGCCGCAGTTGGGTAAAACGACGTATTACAGCTAGCTAGCTTAAGTTTATATGTATTTTTGATACCAATATGTAATAATAAATATTTCTAATGTTGACTTTCTTGAACGGTGTACAAGTTAATGATTGGCAGCGCCATCTAGTGGAGAGTTACAGAAAAAAGTATATATTTTTATCTAATATTATAATAATATTGTCAAAAGTTGGCGCTAGTTCTTTGCCAAAAAAATAAAATAAAATATAACAGAAAATCAATCATTGAATTTTCGAAAATTTGCGGATTTGAATCCATTCACTTATTTATAAACCTAGATGTATACAAATTCCACTGAGTCCGACAGTCTTAACAGCGAGCTGAAGTGATCCATAACCAAAGTTATTTAGACAACTATCATAAAGAGGGGCGAGATTTGTTTCAATTCATTTAAGAACAGCATTTGGGGGACGCGTCGTGGGTTATGAATAATATTTTTATTGGTAGGGTGCTCGCTAATGTACCGCACTATTGTGAAGACTCGCAGAAATACTACTTTGTTATGGCGTTAGAAATATTTCCAGCTAGTAAAAACCTATGACATGAATTTTCATTCAAATTAAACCTTATCATACCTATTAGTGTTCGCTCAGTGATTGAAATTCAAACATATTTTTTTTAATTGATAACACCAAAACTGATTAAAAGCTAATAAACAAAAAAAAAAAGAAAATCAGTTGACATTTACAGAAGAGAAAAGGTACTAAACTGTTTTGTCTTTGCCTTATTATATATAGATGTAGTTTAAAAAAGCAAACAAAATATGGTTTTAATTAAATGTTATGCATGAGGTTTGGCAAAACAAAGTAGCCCAAACTCAAAGGCTTGCCAAGAAAAGTACCATAAACATATTAACTACTTCATTCATTGAATTAGATATTTTTTCACTATTATAACAGTTACTACCTCGGCGTTTTTTTTAAATTGCGGTTTATCAGAAAAAAAAACAAATATAGAGATAAAATGAAAAAGCAAAACCTTATCTGAAGACAAAATTTGATCTAAATTATTAGAGCCGTTTCCGAGATACACGAAATAAATACTTATCCATATCCATATTAACATTATAAATGTGAAAGTGTGTTTGTTTGTTTGTGTGTCCTTTTTTCACGTCAAAATGGAGTGAGGGATTGGCGTGATTTTTTGTGTAAAGAGAGTTGGAAGGCTGGATAGTGATATAAGCTACTTTTTGCTGCGGGAGATTATCTCAATTCCACGGTAAAAGACGTTAAAACACATCTCAAAAAAAAATATGATCAGAATTAATTGAAACTTGGTATTAATGCTCTTCAATACTTAAGGTGATAAAATAGGGAATGAAAGTTTGTATGAAACCTACTATACTTATTACTACATACTATACTTAACTATTGTAATTACAAAAGTTTGTATAGGTATATTATGTATATTTGTTACTCCTTTACCCTTAAACGGCTGGACAGATTTGAAAGTAATTTAGTAAATAAATAGATTGTGATCTGGAGAAACTGTCAGACACATAGGAAAAAACAAGCGAATCCAGGGTAAATGGTTAAGTATAATAAAAAGTGACTAAGTTGTCAGCGTGTCGTCGCGTGTCCGGCACTGATCCGTGTCGCGAACAAATCTGAGCAAATAAAAATATTTTACGCAGGGGTTGCCGTTGCTTCATATGTTATCCTGTACAAAATTGAAAAATATTTGATTAATATTTAACATTTAGGTTTTCGCGTGACAATCATACATTTTTATTCGCAAAAGTGAAGTTGGATGAACTTAATTTTTTAATTTTTAATATTTACATACTTTGTTTTTTACTTACTGGCGACTTACCCTTAGGGATTTTTTATCATATTTTTTTACATCATACCGTTTAACATGCTGTTATGTAATTTTTAAATTAAGTAATGTTACAATAATTTTTGACAGAAGAAAAAATAGCCTACAGAAGAAAAAATGTTCAATCGAATCAGTACTTTCAGAGATTACCCGCTTCACACGAACTGACGAAAGCGTATTATCAAATATGTGTCGTATATGATTGTTACTTCGTCACGCTAAAACGGCTGAACAAATTTAAATGAAATTTAATATATATATAGAGAGAGATAAGATACTTCCCTAGGCTTATCAATATACCTACACCCGATCGAAACTTGGGTAAATTGCTAGTATGATATTTAACTAAATGTAATAGCAGAATTAAGAATTTATGTATTTATTATATTTTTGATATTTGATAAAAAATATTATTAGGATATGTAAAGCCTCATCTAGCATCTCTATATTCGCGGCGCGGCCAGTAAGTAAGCCATAGTGTCGTCACTTAGCGGATCAATTCGCTTGTCAATATTTGTGAGGGCACTCGCTCGCGGAACCCTAGCCCTCAGACACAAGGGTTCCAGACTTGTAATGTGACTGTCACTAATAGATATTTATATTCTCTGATTTCGTTGAAATTCTAACTTTCCTTTATATACATAAGTCTGGCCATAAATACTGTTACAATTAAAAATAAACAAAATATTACATTTGAATTTTTTTATAATTATTCATTGTGTTTTCTGATTTCTTATTTTCGCGCCAATACATTGTCAAATATTTTGTGATATTAAAATGGAGTGGGGTGGTAAAGAGAACCGAATCGCTGTAATTGCGTTACACAAAGTAGTTATGGAGCCAATTACAATTTTTCTCCATACGCTTGGTATTAGTTAAATGATTGTGTACCGGGCTATTGATAGGTACAATGAAACCTCCTCTGTTTGTGACAGAAAGAGATCTGGCCGTCCACAATCCACATAGTGTTCGTACGAAAAAGGCAATGAAAGCAGTAAGGGAAAGAATTCGGAGAAATCCTGTCCGAAAGCAAAAGATTTTATCTCGGGAGATGAAAATAGCACCTAGAACCATGCCGCGTTTTAAAAGATGACTTGCAGCCTATAAGAGACTGGTCATTTCTCAACTGAAAATTTAAAAAAGAATAGGGTGGTAAAATCAAAACAGCTACTTAAGCTGTACGCAATGATTATGGTCACAGAAAAAAATTGTTTACGGATGAGAAATTTTTTACAAATGATCAATATTTTAACAAACAAAATGACCGTATTTATGCTCAAAACTCTAAGGAAGCTTCCCAATTAGTCAACAGAGTACAACGTGGGCATTAACCGACTTCAGTGAAGGTATGATGGGGTGTTAGCTATGAAGGAGTGACTGAACCATGTTTTTGTGAAAAAGAAATCCAAACATCGGCACAAGTGTATCAAGATACCATTCTTGAGAAGGTAGTTAAGCCCCTTAACAACACCATGTTCAATAACCAAGAATTGTCCTTTCAGCAAGACTCGACGCCGGGTCATAAAGCTCGATTCACGCAATCTTGGTTAGAAACCCACGTTCCGGACTTCATCAGAGCTGAAGACTGGCCGTCATCTAGTCCCGATATTAATCCGCTGGATTATGATTTATGGTCAGTTTTAGAGAGTATAGCTTGCTCTAAATGCCATGATAATTTGGAGTCCCTAAAACAATCCATACGATTGGCAGTGAAGAATTTTCATTTTAATGGAAACAGTTCGTGCTTCTAGCACGCACTCTTTCCATGGGAAAATTCTGAATAAAAATTCTGATAACTGGCCTCGACTTCGCATAAGCTTTATATTTTTAATGATTTTATATTAGTGTATTAAACTAACACACTGTAATAGTAATAAATGTTACGTGCAGTAAAAAAAAGTTTTTTCTTTGTAACAATATTTAGGGCAAGCCTATGTATATATATAGCGACTTACCCTCATTGCGCTTGGATGGATCCCTGTTTCCCAAAAAGTAAGTTATGCGTCAGTCTAAGTATAGTCACTGTCCCCCCCAACGTGCGTTCACCTTGTCGTGGTGGGGGGGCTCAGTAGTGCCCGGCAACCCAACCGGGCGCGAAGCCAAGAAACGCACAGGGAGGTGGCCCACTTCGGTGGGCGGTGGGTGGTGGACCTCTTAGGAGGGCGGTGTTCCATTCGGGTTACTCCTGGTACTTCTCTGATAGCAGAGTGGACTTTGGAGCAACCCCGTCGTTGTTGTGGTCTGCTTCGGCAGACCTGCCGTCGGGGCGTCGTAGTTGAATGCGTAAGCGATCCTGCGACGCCCCATTAAGACGGGGGAAGGTTTTGTTGGGTTTTAGTGGGTAGTACTGGCTTATTACGCCGGGGAGTCCCACACCTCGTGCGTAAATGCATTTCCCAACGTTAAAAAAAAAGTATAGTCACTGTAAATCACAGTCTATCTGTCTACTAAAATTCATCCAAAACCATCCAGCTATTTCAGGCTTTCAGGTTGTCTATATATTTCCTTACTACACTTGATAAACTTAACTTGAAATTTGGCATGTGTATTCCTAATATATTTAGAAAAAGGGATATATATTTTATACTTACTGACCTGTTTTGTCTTTGGACTTTGCCTATTTATATATAGATTAATCAAACAATCCGACAACCCCAATACAGTATCACATATCTGACTGAGGCTACACTATGATGAGTCCGCGTTCGATATCTGTCTTTTAACAAAATAGATTCATCGCAAAGGAAAGCAGGTAAATGGCAAAAAAGACTTAATAAATTAATAAAATATTATTAAATAAAATCAAATAAAAATTTAATACAAAAGCGCTATCCGTAAAAACTTGTATGCGTCAATTTTAAAATCCACGTCGCATAATATGACACGTTCGTAAATATTGCGTATTTAACATCGCAGTCCCTCGGTTTCGCCGCGAGGACCCCTGCCAACTTGTCACCATGAAATATAGGGCCGAACTCTTGGACAAAACAGTCGTCAAAATCTGACAAGTCTATGCATATTAGGCTTTCGTCCACATGGACGCCATAGCTCTCATAACATTTATTGGGAGAAGCGATCCTCATGTTCATGATACTAAAATCATTGATCAAATAAACACGTCTGTCCATCGTGGCTACGGTCTTCCAAACACTCGCCTCAACTTCTGAGACCAATCTATTATCGAAAGTAGAAGGCTTGATAGAGAATAGATAGTCTTCAACATTGAACTTTGCGACAGCGATATCGAAGTTCGGAAAACTGCTGTTCTGATAGAACTTCTCGTGTATCTTCCAAAACAAAATTGGGAATGTCCGACTATAGTTTCTGGCGAAATCGCTCAATAGTAGAACTCGGTGGGTTGCACCTTTTTTTCGGCAATGTGCTGATGTTACCACCCACTTAACTAGCACGACACTCGCAAAACAGGCGAAAGACCAGGATTTCGAGGAGTTTCGAGCAATCGCTGCGACGTAGGGAAACCTTTTAGCGATAGGAATGTTTCGGTTTTCATTTAGAGCTATCACAGCGATAGACTTAGCGACCTGGTACGCCCCAGTTCCAGGGTCGTACTCCCGTTTTCGCTCCTCCACAGTGATGTCAGTGGCAAATTTCACCATCACGCACACTGCCATGATGGCCACGAAGATAATGATTGTAAAAATGATACATGCTGCTTTCATTTCTGGTTTTTATGGTTGGTGACTTAGACAGATGAGTAACAAGAAGACATCTCGTCCTTTTTGAACGATCAAAAAGTCAAATGCAGTCAAAAGGATTCGTTTAAAAACTAATATTTTCTTATGAATATAATTCTTGTGCATTAATTTTGCAAGCTATTCTTATTTTATATGTATTTGATTGTCATTTGTTTTGTGGACCACTAAACATAAATAAATAAATAAATAAATAAATACATAATGTTGTTATTATATTTTTCCTTTAAGATTTTCTAATTTAAAAATTGTAAATTTTATATCTGCAATAAGAAATACTCGTACAAATAACAAAATTCGGGAAAGATGACAAATTTACACAAAATAATCTTTTCCATATTATATTATTCACGGCGCGGCCAGTATTATTTTTTACTACTAGCAGAACCCACGACTGCGCCCACGCTCAATCTACAAAAAAAAACTCTTAGGCTTTATGTTATACAGCGACTCACCCTCGTGAATAAAAATTGCGGGGTGAGGGTAGGAGGGTGAAAATACTTTACGATCTATTCTCATACCTACCAAATATACAAAAAAACCCTCAAAATCGGTCAAGCCGCTTCGGAGGGCGACCACAAACACTAACTGAAACACATCAGGTATTTTATGTTAATATGTAGTAATAGTTATCTATAGTTAACCTATAATAAAATTGTAACTAAGCCGAATCTGTACATTAAATATTTTTTGGAAAATCTTATTGAAATAAACATTATTATCGATACAGGGGCCAAATCTATAGTATTTAGAATTTTTGTCTGTCTGTCTGTCTATTACCGCATCACAGAAAACCACTGGAGGGATTTCGATGAAATTTGGTATGGTGATAGCTGGTTATCCGGGTCAACATATAGGATACTTTTTACCGAAATGTCTCATTTCTGAGAAAAAATACAAAAACTGCAATGTAAGAGTATATTAATATGTAAAACCTAATAATTTGGTTTTTGGTCATCTGAACGCGGGTGGAACCGCGGGCAATGCTAGTTATGTATAAAAATTAAAAACTTTACCTTTTTATAATGTCACTGGCGACTCATCCTAGCTGTATGTATGTACAATAGGGTGTTGGTTATTTACCAAGTATATATTTTTTCTTGCGACGCCCCCTAAATTTTTAGTTTATTCATCTAAAAAAAATGTCAGACCAAGATAAGCCCTTAATGTTCATAATAAACCTAGCACAAAGATACATTTTCCATTTAAATTACATGGGATTTTGCCACCTTGTACATTTAATTTCTTTTTTCGAAATTTTTAATCTTTACAGCAATGAAACACGTATAGGCATTGATTGGATAAAATAAAGAAACTAAATTAAAATTATAGACTCTTTTTAAATAACTCTTATCTATACTACTTTAAAACTATCGACTCACCCTTGCTTCGCTCTGGATCGTCCCTATGTATTATAAATATATAGTTTTATATTAATGTATGGAAGTCTGCCCGATTTGTTGACATTTATGATTACTGCTCCGCTCGCTTAGGTAGTAAGTAGCGTGGTACTATATAGCCTAAAGCCTTCCTCAATAAACGGTTTATCTAATGCCAAAATAATTTTTCAAACCGGATTAGTAATTCCTGTAATTAGTGCGTTCAAACAAACAAACAAACAAACAAACAAACAAACAAACAAACAAACAAACAAACAAACAAACAAACAAACGAACAAACAAACAAACAAACAAACAAACACACTTTCGCATTTATAATATTATATAAATAAAAAAAAGATATTCTTAGCGAGATTCAAGCCCGCGACCATATTAAAGTCAAGAGTCAATTACTATACTATTACACCAGACGGTTATAAAAAAAGCTCTTAAAGCTTAATGAAAAGTTTTGCTACAGTAAGTAGTTATTGCTATATCAAATTAATCAGGCGCTATATATGACGCAGCTACAATTTTTTACCGACTTTATATTTATTAAATGAGTGATTAAATTGATTGTATTTATATTTTGTATGTTATGTAACTTTATATCTTTGCCGTTTGCAAATGGATTTTTCTAATTCTTTGTCAATGAAAATGATATATTTTTTAAACTTTAAATGATATATATTTTTTTCTTTTAAACTTTACCTGTTTACCTACTTATTTAATTAACTAAATACTCGTCAACAGATAGGTTTTAATCTATTTTCTCGATTTTTACTGTTTCATAATTAATACAGTACAGTGTAACTAGAACAATTCATATACTCAATCTATTTTCTAGATTTTTGCTGTTTTTTTTTTGGTTAATAATTATACTACAGTTGAAAGTGGAAAACCGCCTATTCCGATTCTCGATTCGCTCGATCGATAGCACTGATGTACATTAGTTCTCTTCAAAACAGATGTACATATAACATAGGATAGTGGACCACTCCTAGTGCTACTAGGAAAACCTTAGTTTTCAGTCTACTGTGATTTGTTTTTGTGTTTCATACATTGTTGACTAAAAGCGTGTTTTTTAACTATAGGTATTAGGTACATATTGAAAACGCCTTCTGGCTGGGCGCCAAAGTGCTAAGACATGCTCAATATGATTTTGTACTTTGAATAGATTTTAAAGTTAGTGAGTGCGCAAATGACTTAGAACTAAAAATAAATTTAATATTATTATGTTTTCTCTGTCATATCGACATGAATACGGACGTTTTTATCCATCTGTTCATAAATGACGTAATAATTTTACATAGAATCAATCCCACGCCTGCATTCATCTATAGTGTTTAAAAGGACGCAAACCAAATATGGCCATAACAAAATAAACAGTTTTTTCAGTTAAGTGAAGCAAAATTCTAAAACAGTTCCGTTTTGTAAGTAAAAATAACCATGAGTCAGATCAACTTGTTATATTTTGCGCGAAATAATTGCCTCAGTGAATCAGCTGCTTCCAAAAAATCAATACTTCTCCGCATGTTGTCACAACCCTACTTAGTAGCGTTTTAACATTAAGAAATATGGAATAGAATAGAATTATTCGTTTTACCGCAACTGTTACCTTGGAAAAGTGTATTTTTGGAATAATTAACACTTAAAGAAGTAATTAGAGAGGCAAAAATTAAATTAACATTAAAGTGAAGTTAGCCATAGGTGATTTGTAGTTGAATAAACTCCCGCCAGATGGCGCAGTGTACTCGTGATGTTGTTACATTCTGTAAGGGCGTGTAAGTGCTTGTGCAAAAAATAAGTGTTTCGTGATATTTCAAGCCCTAATTGACTACAAAAACGGTGAGTAATTAACAATTATAATGTCAGCGATGCCGTAAAATAATAATATCGTTTAGTATGTAATAGAAATGTTGTAGGAAATGAGAATCAGTACATCTGTCCGATCAGATGTATAACCCGACCGAATTTGGGTTGCGCCATTAGTGCCGCGCTTGTTACTGCTCCCGTTCAATACAATTTGGTAGGGTAATTCCCGCCATCTTGTGAGCTGAGCTTTCAGGACTTTGTATAAATATATTTATCGATCGAAAGCTGTAACCTAAATTCGGTGTTAGACTCGTTTTATGAATTACACTTATAGTGAAATTATTTTAAATAAACTAAATTCATTCACAGTGCTTCTAGTATGAGTCATGCTTTGTTGACATTATGAAATTTGCAATCTGGATACATTTTCAGTGGTTATATAGTATAGAAGAGCTATATATTTAATTTAAAGTAGTAAGTAAAGTCATGTTATATTAAAAGTCATAGTTATAACGCTTCACACTGTATTTATTAATGCGACCTCGGTTTTAACACCTATATAGTCATAGCAGTGACATCACAAATTTTAAATAGAATTGGATAATGGGTTTAAGAAAAACGCTGACATCGTAAAGATGTTTTGTTTCATGTAGGTTTTTACAGTAAACATATATTTATATTCATTCATAATTTATTAGTTTCATCTGTTTTTAACCAACTTCCAAAAAGGAGGGGGCTCTCAATTCGTCGGAATCTTTTTATTCATCAATTTAAAATATTAATTTATTTTGCATAATAAGTAATATTTTTATAATATTTGTCATTTTTACTTCTGTACAGGGTATGAAATTATCGAGATAAATATATCTTTTGATAATTATCAAGATAATTATCCGATAATTATCAAACAGATATAAACTTAGCAATCGTTGCGTAGGTTTTTGATTTGGTATTTGACTATTTACCTATGATAATTTACGTTAGAATAAATGATACACTTTTAACAATCAAGTGAAATTAATGAGTGGAATATCATCCCCATCCTCCTCAACTGCATTAACTCAATTTGCTGATTGAGTTTTTGAGCTGATTGAGAGAGTTCAGTTAGCTGATCGACAATTTGAAGTTACAAATTAAATATTTTCAATTATATTTATCAAAGATAATTATCAACCCATATTTATCTTGATAATTATCAACCCATATTTATCTTGATAATTATCAAAGATAATTATCAATGATAATTATCATTTCGAACCCTGGTTCTGTATTTTTAATACTTACAAAAAGAAATCAAAATACCTTACCTAAGATATCTCATTGCCACAGGCAGCATAAATAAGATATGCTCTGTTTTCATATTTTTTTTCTAATAATGGCAAATTATTCATTATAAAAAAAAATTGGCTGTCTGTATGATAAGAACATTCTTATACACTTGACACTAATACTGATTTTGATGATTAATTCAATATTAATAATTTTTTATTTTTATTTGAACCTATTATACTAAAGTGATGTGTATTACCATTTTGCATGTTATTTAGTTGACAAGAGCAAAATAGTCTTATTAGGAAATTATAATATAAACAGCTCTAAACCATATAAGGTTACATTCATTGAATAAAATTTCTTATAACACAACCTACATCGAATGAGAATATAATTTTTTTATGTGACATTTAATATGTACAATGCTAAGATTTTCTTTTGCGTTTTTATTACAGAAATAATAAAAAATCATACTCTTTACTAACTTACATGTAACTTAAC